ATTGATACTTTATGATATTACTATATCGCCCTTTTTACCATTACTTAGCACAATGCTACATTTTAAGACCTTATTAGTGATGTTGTACATATAAATTGAATCTTAACTTTGGTCTTATTAAAACGTCTCAAGATTATTGTTTTAGGTAATCAATGGTATGTGCAATTCAAAAATTTCATTTCGAACCCCAACCAAAAGCTGCCTTTGCTAACCTTGGCTTATCTGAACTAACACACTCAGAAGAGAAGGTAACATCTGTCTGGCTGCTAAAGTAAGAGCTGTAAGACAAGAACTGCTAGCTACCAGTTGTTTGTTCTGAATATGTCTTTATATTATTTAGAGAACAAACCGAGTTTTGTAGATTCCTTACAAGGGCAAAGTATATCATTGTAAAGTCGGAGTCCATTTTTTGAAATCCAATGTTCTAAGGGGACAAGTAATCAGCCATTAATGATAGTTGGACCAAATTTATTGATAGAGTCTATGTGGACATTTAAACGACAATAATAAGCCCATCCAATTAATATGGTGACACAATTAGAATCCAACAACAATGACTTTTGATAGTAAATTTCTTAATAAATCTGGTCAAAGTAACATTTTACGAACAATAAAAAAATATGCCTTCTGTAAAGATGTATGATTTTAAAAATATTCCTAAAAATTTTATAACTAGTACCCTTCCAATTTTTCTTAGGAACTATTTCTTGTCAGTGCATAACAACTGTTGGATTAATGAATTGAGATCGAGCCCACCAATCTTCTAGTTGGTGTGATTAAACCTTGTTAATTGGTTTTAAAGAATTGTTAGAGCATTATTATTTGCAAGCTTTTTCAATTTTGGAAAGATATTAATAATTTTTATTTTTTATATAGGACATATGTAACAATGAGACCATTCAATATACTAAGGGCACATCAAAATGCACAGATGAATTGCAATTTTTCAAAAATTCTATGTTTTTAATATAAGCTTTTGAAAACTTTGCAATTAAAGTGTAGACAAAAATTTAGCTAGATTTTAGATAGATTAAATAAAATTATTGTTGAAAATTATGAGAAAAGGTACAACCTCATGAATAAATATAGTTCAAAGTTGAAAAAGTACCCAGAAGTTTAAGACACTAGTAGTGTAAACATTCTATATTTCTAATATTTATTAGGAAGCAAATACAAATATGGGATGAGACCTCTCAAGATGGTAATTCCATGATAGTGTTTCATACAACTCTCATGTATTAAAGCTTATAAATACAAAGAAAAACAAGAAAAGTATCTCATCTGTATGCTAAAGGAAATCCTAAGAAAATCTACAATCTTTATTTTTAATTTTTTGCACAAACTCTTTGTTATGGAAAACAAGCGCACTAGGGGTCGTCAAAAAGTTGACATGAAAACAATTGAGAGTGAAAAAGATCGCTACGCTACATGTTCAAAGCGGTGCTATGAGATTTTCAAAAAAGCAAGCCAACTATGTATTTTGTGTTATTGATATTGTTATATTAATTTTTTCTACCATGGGAAAATCCTTTTCATTTGGTCATCCAAGTATCTGACTATTCACAAGACAAGTCCAACAATACAAGAAATTGAACTTTTAACCACCATAATTATTGCAGCTAAATATGTAAAATTGTCAAAATATGTTTAGTGACAATTTTTTTGCTGTCAATGGGCTGGGACTATATGTGATGTGGCTAAATCATTTAGTAATGACGTTTTGAAAGCAGCCACTAAAAGTAAAATTTTTAGCTACAAAATGAAAAATGTCATTAAATTTGAAATATTTAGCCACAATAATTATTATAGCAAATTTAAATAATTTTGCCAATAAAATGTACTATATCACCGCTTAAAGTACGATAAAAATTGACTTTTAGTTATAATAATTAGTTTCGGCTAAAAATTCACTGTTTAGGCACAATCATAGTCACTACTAAAATATTAGAGCATATTTTTAGTGACAACTTATTGTCACGGCTAAAATGTTAAAATGAATAAAAAAATTATTAAATGTTTGGAAAAAAATATTTTTATTGAATATTTTCCAATTCACATATCACCTATTTACAAAAAAAAAAAAACATATGCAATGATAAAACATTAATATACTAAACGCTTGTTACTATAAAAATCATATTTCTAAATCAATTAACATGAAAACAATATTCTAATATGTATCATTCAATTGTACATACTTACAATTCATTACCTTAAAAGAAAAGAAATGAACAAAAAATGTAATAATCATTTGACTTTTTAATAGAAGTTCTACTGGTACGTCTACTAGGCCTTGCAGGTTCAGACCCCAGAAGCTCTTTAGAGAGAGGCATTTATCAAGAATTCTTTGGAGATCACCAATATCCGAGAAAGTTGACTACAAGAAGAGAGAATTCTATGAGACCATACACTAAACAGATATCCCTGAGGCCATACACTAAATAGAAATCCATGTACATCATATAATAAATAGAAATCCTTGTCCCAAGATTGTGTTGGGGGAAGAGAATGAACACAAGGAATCCAAGGAAGATTAAAATGTTTGAAAAGATAATGTCAAGAAAGGTAATGGAAATAGCACTTAGGCTCACAAAAAAGACACGTTCCATGCAATTTGCATCATAAATTCCACATTTAGCGCCATGAATATAAGCAAGTACAGAATTAGCATGTGACTGACTATGCCCCCCCATACAACTTATTCGATCAATATTTGCGTGTGAGTTTTGACATGTGTAATGACACAAGCAAATTTACCTTAGCATTGTAGTTGGAATCCAAAAGAATGTTAGATGATTTGATATCTCTAAGGATCACAAGAGCTTTGCATATTCTGTAAATTCAGAAAACATCAACAAGAATACCTCCATCATCTAACATTCTTATATGACTCAAATTTATGGGTTTGCTGATCACCACAAGAAAGTACTGTTTGAAGAAGGTGACAACAAAAATGTCACAATGAGCCATTCTTCTTCACATCCCAGTCCAAGCAGCACAAATTCAACTGCAATTGTGTATCAGGATATGAGTTACCAACTTGAGGAACCTCATTCTGTAATTTGCTTTAAATCTGGGTATCAAGAGCTCAAATCATGCTGATGATGATGCTAATGATGATGGTACTCAAGTGTTCAGATCAGAAGAACCATCCCTCCAAAAATTCCAGACCGGGAGCACGGAGCAAAGCCATGGTCCTTTTCTACCCTGAACAAAGAGGAATGAGATTGAACTGCCATTTACTAAGAAAGATAGACAATATACAATAATTCTACATTGAAATAGTTCTATAATGGCCATTTCAACACTTAATTATCATAGCATATGCAGAAAATATAGGTATGATGTCCACAAGCAGCATTGCGTCTTATTAAATTGATATTTACGCACAAAAAAAATAGCAGAACACAAGTAGATAAGATAATTTATATGAGACTTGCTTCCACGGTGAAAGATTTATTAGAGAAGCGATGTCTTTAGAGGTAATCTAGCATCTCAAATCACGAGAGAACACTTGGAAAGCATTACTTTGAAGAGTCTCGGCATAAAAGCTTTCTACCCTATCTTCATCAAGTTCAATCATAACTTTCCCAGAAATTTTGACGCTAGACTCCAAAATAATTTTGTTTATCACATTTGAAAGATTACTAGAAAATGCATATGATTTTATTGTGCTAATGTGTTCTCCTTTTATGTACTAAAAACTGGTGAACAACAACTGATGATGCACAAAAATAGATTTATGCATCACCTGTTGAGTAATTAAAATAGGTAATAAATGCAGTAAATATAAAGATGAGATCAATACTCGTAATATAGATATAGAGTGGCTTGGTCAGAGTAACCTACTCCACTTTGAAGGCAGCAATGGTGGCCGTAGGACTTTATTGATAAAGTAGTAGGTGCGAGAGAGCAAGAGTAAGCTCTAGGTGTGAAAAGGTAACTGTGTGAGATATGTAGAGATGTCTATGTCAGAGATAGTTGTCCCTCCCTCATGTGTAGAGGGCTTATAATATATAGGTATAGAGGCCTAGTTGAGGTGGCGGGGTAAGGGATATGTTACTAGTCCTTTGGGGAGGATAGCTACAGATAAAGATAAGTACAATTAAAGATAGTCTTGATTTTTGAGTGGTTGTTATCCTGGTAATTACTCCCCACCTGCTTGATCCTCTTAGGTTTCCTAAACTTTGGACTGGGCCGAATCCATGAACTGGGCTTGAACTGCTTTTTAACTGATTTGGGATTACCCACGAATTGAACTTGAACTCAGCTACATCTAAGCTCATCATTTGCCCCCCATGCCCCAAGCCCTTGCGATGACAAGAGATTGAGGGCATGAGTAAGCTTCTTCATTTAGGCAGACCAGGTAACTTGTTTCTCACCATAGCTTCTTTAGTCTTCCATCTCTTTATACCACTAGAGCTCAATTCTTTATCTTTCCTATCTCACTCCTCGCTCCTGATGACCTACTGTGCTATTCAAAGGAGGTTTCACCCTTTCATACTAAAATCTCTTTTCCTCCATTTAGAGCACATTTCTTGGGACTTCATGAGGTCAATCTGTACATAGACCTAGAAACAACCATTCATTCTCCAATCCCTTGGATTAGGGCTAACACAATCCCTCATTCCCACAGATCACAGAGGTGACCGAAGGTGTTCATTAGAACTCAGATACCATAGGGGGATCAATGACATCAACAAAATTTGGCGTAGGAGACATCTTGGCACCTCACTAGTCGATTTCAGACCTCATTAGGGGAGACACACATTGGGCGACGACATTAGAGGGGTTGTGGCAACATCGGGCGACACGAGCCCCAGTGTGATGTCATGGCAGTCGATGACGCCAATCAACGCTGTGTAGAGCTCCTGGGTGACGCCAATGATGAAGGAGGCATGGGCGGCACCATTTAGTGCTGCGCAAGGCTATTAGGAGGTGCCCAAAGTGGAAGAGGCATGGGCGCCAGCACTTTGACCTAGGCGCTAGGTGGAGCCAGCATGCTAGGCGATGCCTTGCGTTGGATGGTTGGCAATAAGTGTGGGGCAACAATGACAAGTGGCACCATTGTGTGGACCCAGCCACTGGGTGACGCTAGCGAGCCGTTGGGTGGCGCTTGTGCGCTGGGTGACACTGGGTACAGCTCGAGCAAAGCTGGGAGGAGGCCAAGGGTATTGAACGAGGCAGTTGGCCACCAAGCGAGGTAGGTTGGCCACTCCATGTAGGCGCAAAGTGATGCCAAGCTAGGCGACGCTTTGTAGGCTTAAAGGGGATGCCAAGCTACTACCAAGGGCGCGGGAACCATGGATGTGACCGAAGTCCTTGGAGTAGGATTCGACACTAGTGGGCCATCTTGTGACACCAGGGACTGGCACAAGTGTAGGGGCGTTGGTCCAAGCGCATTCGTTGCTAGTGCTGTGAAGACCCTGCCCCATTACCGGGACCCTGTCTTCCAAGGGTTAACCTCCCATTACCGGGATATCACCACCCTCCACCAAAGGATTTCGGCTAACCTGTGGGTCAAACCCCCACAGTAGCCTTTACCTCTGTCCCACATCGGGGAAAGAGTCGTCTCCCCACCCCCATATAAGCCGAAGCACCATATGAGAGCAGTACCCAAGTAGCACACTAGTGGTACTTGGGTACTGCTCTCATATGGTGCTTCGGCTTATATGGGGGTGGGGAGACGACTCTTTCCCCGATGTGGGACAGAGGTAAAGGCTACTGTGGGGGTTTGACCCACAGGTTAGCCGAAATCCTTTGGTGGAGGGTGGTGATATCCCGGTAATGGGAGGTTAACCCTTGGAAGACAGGGTCCCGGTAATGGGGCAGGGTCTTCACATAAAAGGCGCCTTTTGTGTGAAGACTCCTCCCATTACCGGGATGTAGGTCTTCCAAGAGCATTTTACCGCCCTCCACCAAAGGATTTCGGCTACAGCAGGGCGACCCCACAGTAGCCTTTACCTCCGTCCCACATCGGGGAAGGAGTCGTCTCCCCACCCCCATATAAGCCGAAGCACCATATGAGAGCAGTACCCAAGTAGCACACTGTGGTACTTGGGTACTGCTCTCATATGGTGCTTCGGCTTATATGGGGGTGGGGAGACGACTCTTTCCCCGATGTGGGACAGAGGTAAAGGCTACTGTGGGGGTTTGACCCACAGGTTAGCCGAAATCCTTTGGTGGAGGGTGGTGATATCCCGGTAATGGGAGGTTAACCCTTGGAAGACAGGGTCCCGGTAATGGGGCAGGGTCTTCACATAAAAAGGCGCCTTTTATGTGAAGACCCTGCCCCATTACCGGGACCCTGTCTTCCAAGGGCAATCCTCCCATTACCGGGATATCCCGCCCTCCACCAAAGGATTTCGGCTGACCTGCGGGGCAAACCCCCACAGTAGCCTTTACCTCTGTCCCACATCGGGGAAAGAGTCGTCTCCCCACCCCCATATAAGCCGAAGCACAATATGGAAGCAGTACCCAAGTACCACCAGTGTGCTACTTGGGTACTGCTTCCATATTGTGCTTCGGCTTATATGGGGGTGGGGAGACGACTCTTTCCCCGATGTGGGACAGAGGTAAAGGCTACTGTGGGGGTTTGCCCCGCAGGTCAGCCGAAATCCTTTGGTGGAGGGCGGGATATCCCGGTAATGGGAGGATTGCCCTTGGAAGACAGGGTCCCGGTAATGGGGCAGGGTCTTCACAAGTGCTGAGATGCTGGGCGACACCAGGTGACACAAGGTTGATTGGGCGACGCAGGGGGACGCCATGGTTGGTCTAGGTGTCACAGGGTACAAATGGCAACGCCAACCGAGCACTAGCCTTGGGCTAGATGACGCCAAGCGGTGACATCTTGGCATTCTGGGCAGTGGTGCTTGGTGGAGTATTAGACAATCATGAAAAAATGATAAAACTTTGAACGGTCATACCTTTGCACTTGGTTGTCTGTTTGAGATGATTGTTTTTAAATCCGGGTATTTTTTCAAGTTCTACAACAATCTAATAGTCTACGGTGGTTTGGGCACCAAATTTCTCCACAAAAAATTTCTTTCTCACTAAATTTAAACTTTAACCACAAATTAGTGAAAAAATAGATTTTTGCACGTGTCAACTTTTTGTATTTTTGACTATGTGAGGACTCAACTCGTCTTGCTTTGATGAATTCCTTAGAATGAGGATATGTTGGTTCTTGTTAACCATTTGTTGCATGGTCTCCAACAGTTGTTTGGATTTAAGGATGAGGTTTGTTGGTGGTGGCGGGACCTTGTTGTTGTAAAACCCGAGAAAATTTAATTTTTTTCGAAAAAAGGACAAAATGGTAATTTGTCAATATAATACGGGTTTAAAATCCATATTTTTCTAGAGCTTAGATGACGCAACAAACCTCACCGTTGGATTCGTATCGCAAAATCGAACTGCCCTGTCAATTTTTGTCGAATTTTGAGATAGTCAGATTTTACACATTTTACGAGACAATTGGGTGACGAATGACCTCACGAACATCCCAAAAAATGAGTTTTATAAAATTTTCTTAGAATTAGATTAAATTTCAAATAAAATTAAATTGAACTTAAACCGGGATGTAATGAATCATTTTGGGAAGAAAAACGGACCCGAACAAGTAGGGGGCGAGTCGATGTGAGTCAAGTCTTTAAAATTATAAATAGGGTTAAAAATCAGATATTTCTTTCGATTCTTGGAGTTCTGTCGATCGAAATCCGTCAGGCCAAAAGTTAAAGTCAATCACATCGATGAAGGCTACGCAACCACACCAAGAACGAAGGATTTCACCGAAGATCCAAAAGGGAGATTTTGGGAAAATCAAATTTTGGAGGTTTTGGTTGGTGTTCTTGAAGTTCTAGCCTTCGATTTACGCTTCAAGAGGTAGGGTTCCCTCCTACTCCGGTTCATTTCTAGCCTATAGTGTTCATAAGGGACTGTTATGTAGGCTGTTTTATGGGCTATTTGTGGATTGTTCTAGGACTGTTTTATGGATTGTTTTGTGGACTGTTTTGGGACTGTTTTATGGGCTATTTTGTGGCCTGCTATGTGGGCTGTTATGCGGTCTATTTTGGGGCTGCTATGCGGCCCGTTTTTGGGGTTGTTATGTGGGCTGTTATTGGGCATGTTATGTTTTTATATAAATTATGCCTTGTATGAGAATTTGATAAATGCCTTGAATGATTGAAGTTTCATTTTGATAAAATTGAAATAACATGCTTAGATGTTTATGGTGTGTTGAAATCATATGCTTATGAGATGATTTACATTGGAAATGTAAATGTTGAAATGTGATAGTATTAATCCATATGACATTCATTACACATGGATATGTCATGACTATTGAAATTACTTATTTGGCATCCTGAGGTTGGCATCACATTCATGGGCTTAGGCATGAGTGTGGGTGTGTATGCATGATTTAATTAAACACAACTCTTGGTGATCGATATGTGAACTCAAAAATGTGGGATTGAAGATCCAAGGGAGTCACATGGTTGCATAAGAAAAACTTGTGTCGGGTATAGCAAGAAGAATTAGACACTCCCTCAAGTGAAATTTCTGGCTACTTTGTTCATACACTTCTCTGAGGTGAAATTCTGAAAAAGTGTAATGGCGTACGGAGCCAATCGGTGTGATTTCGGAATTCGATACCCAACAAAAACAAATGATTTTGTAATATAAAGTATTCATTCAAAGGGAAACATAAAAAAAAAATGAATTGGTTTTATAAACGCATGGTTTGTAATTCAAAAATGATCATTGAATGTATTCCATCAATAATAAAGGTTTTTATACGTCCATTGACTGAGTCTCATCTCATTCCATAGCATGACATGGTGAAATTCTAACATAAAATTTTATACTTTGTTTGGAATGTTGTTTGGTATGAATGTTAAATGTACACATTGCATATACACTTAGGTGGGGAGTAGCCTCTGTAGGAATAACTCTACTGGGCATTAGCTCACCCTATTCGGAAAATATTTCAAGTGTGGGACATACACCGGTGGAAGGCTCCCAATCCGAGCCCCATGAATGAAGAAAGCTGGAATGTGGCTTTTGTTTTGAAGTTTTGTAAAAATTTAGTTTTTGGACATGGAATTACTTGCAATAGAACTTGTATATATAGAGTTTTATTGCAAAAACTATGTTTTTACAAAACATTCACTGAGTTAGTTTTTGGACTATTTTAATGAAATCTTGCATGCTATTATATATTTACTTTTAAATAGACCCGGTGTGGTCAATGTTTACTTTTAAATAGATCCGATGTGGTCAATATTGTATATTGGACCTCGGATGGGTCATGTGATTGTTTGATGAACATGTTGTATTTTGGATAGAACTTCTCGTACAAAAGAGACTGCCCAAATTTTGTTAAATTAAGAATCCCCGATTTTTGGGGGTGTCACAATTGTGGTGTGGCGGGTCATCCCACAGCCTTCCCTAGGTAGAAGAGAAAATATATTTGATCCTTCCAATAAGCTTTGATAATTGCAATACTATAGATTATTTTTCTTATCCCAGTTTCACAGGTACTACTGTTGATAGAGCGATGGTAAAGACTTTTTATGCTTCTAGGGTGACATCTTCCCCTCCTTCTAAAATGGCGAATTCTGATGCCCCTAGCACTTCTTGGTCGAGGTCCGATGGCCAGGTTACTTCCCAGGAGACGGGACCCGATGGTGGCCCCATTCCCTCCCAGGCTGCGACTCCTTGGCATTCCAAAGCTAGCCTTAGTACTGCTATAGGAGTTGAGACTCCAGTGTGGTCTTCTACAGGGACTAGAGCTCCATTTAGCAATCCTATTTCTAGTAGTGGCTCTGTGTCCGTGCTACAAGACTTGAATTTAGCCAAGGACAAACTTTTGAGGTTTGTGACTCCTGGGGATATCAGAGAGGTTGGTTCTCGAGGTTTAGAGGGCATTATCAATACCGCAATAGAGGGATTTGCCATGGTATACCTTTCTACTCAACCTTGATTTTTTACCCATCTCCATTCCTTCATGTTTTGATTTTTGAATGCTTGTAAGTGGCTGTTACTTTTTCCTACCATTTTCAAGGATGATCAAGCTTGGAGCGGTAACCAAGGATCTGGCAAAAGAGAGGCAAGCTCAAGAGGGTGCTGAGGAGCAGTTGAGACTAGCTCATGAAAGAGTCGTACCTCTTGAGGTAAAGCTTTTGGCATCTCGCGAGAGGGCCGCAAAGCTAGAGGCTGATAAGGAGATGATTTGTGCTATAGCAGAGTCAGAACTGCGAGCATTCCATGAAAGGACTGCAAGTGCTGAGGTTGAGCTACGTATACCTTGGGAGAGGGTTATTGTGGCAAAGGCTGACCTATGAGTAGCTCATGAGAGAGCCACTAGGGCAAAGGCCTATTCCATTGAGATGGATATGAGGAGGGAGGCTGCTGAGAGAGCCATTGTAGGCATTTTTATTGATGGTTATGAAGAGTTTAGGGGAAAGCCCTCAAAAGCTTTCTCTACTATTAATTTCTTTGGCTTTGTCTCATATGAGACCCTAGGGACAGATGGTGATGGGAGAGCCTTGATAACAGTGGATCGGGGAGCGGTGAGTGACAGTCAGGAGTATGTCGATTTTTATCTTTTCTTCTACCTTGTTGTTATGTCATGTTCTAACTTTTATAAATTGTTCACATACTTTATAGAAAGAAAGAAAGATAGTTCTGGACACAATAATCCTTGCAAAGTTTTATTTCATAAAAAAAATAGATAACAAAAATAATTGACTGAAACAACAAAAGATAATTTAAATGATAGTCACTGACCCACACTGACTTGATAATACTTCTTCAGGAAGTTCGGCATCCCATGGATGGGCCAAGGCTTTCCCGTTTCCAAAGTGCTGTGATCCCTAGGGTTGAACACTTCCACATAGAGGGCCTCTTGAGGTCTCTTGGCCATCATAGAGACCATATAGCATTCTCTAACAACGACTTGGTCTCCTCTAATTTCTCTAATCCCACAAAAGGTTGGGAAATGGGGAACAAGGTGATAGGTGGACGGCACAACCCTTAAGGTGTTAAATGCTGGGCGTCCAAGGATGATGTTGTAGGTAGAGGGGCAGTCTTGCACTATGAAATTTACCATGATGGTGTAGTTTTTTGGTGCAATCCCTAATGTGACTGGCAAGGTGATGGAACCCAAAGGATAAGCCCACTCACCCAAAAATCCGATGAGGGGCTTTCTAATGGGCTACAGTCTTTCCCTGCCTAGATGAAGGCCATCATAGGCTGGTGCGAACAAGATGTTGGCAGAGCTATCGCTGTCCACCAAAATTTGCTAAACTTGATAATTGGCTACCATCATGGTTAAGACCAGAGGGTCATCATGGGGGATTTGTATGCCCTTGAGGTCCCTGTCTAAGAATGAGATGAATTATTTTTTTTGATGTCAGGTCGTTTTCATTGGGCGAGGATCATTTGACTCTGTCTGTCTAGCTCTCTTTCCATGCGCCTTCTTGGTGAAGTGGGAGTCACCTCATCCTTCTAACCCTTCGGAGATCATCTGGATCTATTCTAGAGGCTGTTGGTGCTCTCTGTCATCTTGGTTTTTGTTAGGCGGTAGGACTTGTTCTCTGCCAGCAACATAGTGCCAAAATTGACCAATCTGTATGAGCTTCTTGATCTGTCTTTTAAGATCAAAGTAGTCATCGGTTTTATGGCCATGGTCACGATGGAAGCAGCAATATTTGTTTGAATTCTTATGGTTC